AGCAACTGTACCGTGTGAAATATTCAGAGTAAATATTGTTGTGCATTAATGTGGAAATGATTTTGCTGACACATTTAAAGTGTTCACACCCCCTCCCGATTTCAATTCTAGTTGGACTTCTGAGAGAAAATCCTTGCTTATTGCTAATGGGCCAACACAGTTTCCATCCAGAAATAATAAGAAAATAAATTGGTGGAAATGTGTCTCGAGGTGTGCAAGATCCTTGAAGGACTTCTTTGTTTCTTTGTGTTCTTCTTGCAAGTTCATACCCACTTCACAGACACAGCTGGAGCTCTTCTGACTGCTCTTTTGTCTTTTTTAGAGCAATTGGCAGAGGTGCCCTGTTCAACCATCCAGGTGCTGAGCGTGGCACAGACAAGAAGAAGAACCCTGTCAACCTTTCTGATACGCTTGCCTGTGTTCGAACAAAGACGATGCCTTCAGACAGGCATAATTGAAGAGATCATGCAGTACCTGCATATTCTCCTGCCAGGCAAATTCCAAGACTTCACAGCTGTGCAGGGAAACTATCCCGTGGAGAAATGACAAAAACAAGGAAACATAAAAAATCACAAAGGCAATAAGAAGCGCTGAAGCTAAATCAGCTATGTCTTTGTGGGAAAGAATGGCCCTGATGGTATTGACAAGGGAGACCCGTTGTGTTTTTTGATCCCCATTCAGAGCCAAAAACTCCACAGGATGTTTTGAGATGGTCTACAAAGACATGATTAAATAGAAAATAAATAAATATTCATAACAAAGCCAATGCAGAGCCAGATGTTACTGTTAGTTGCTTTCAGAATAAAACTATCCCCGAAGATCATTCACTCTGACAGGCATCAGGGTGAACACACACAAAAACACACTCAAAAACCTGCAAAGTGAACAGCACATAATCCATCAAAGCTGACTCCTCAACTACCTGGTGACCAAAAATGTTTATGAGGTACATTGTGACACTTCCCACCGGAGTAACCCCCCACAATAGACTATGAGCTTATCATACTGTAAGGTGTTTGTGAAAAAGGTGGCCACAATGTTTCTATTTGCGGTAGATAAGATTCCTCTGATAGCATAAACACTAAGTTACTCACTGAAGGCATTCAAATGTCAAATTTGCATTGGTATCAGGGGGGAAAGAAACTGGGCAGCTCGATTACAGACTCATGGGAGATGCTGTTTCGTTGAATTTTTCACGACAACCATGTTTTTAATCAGTTAAATACAATATTTTTAACTGAGTAGTAGCTCGGATGGCTGGATGGAAGGGTTGATGGATGGATAGATAGATAGATAGATAGATGGATGGATAGATGGATGGATAGATGGATAAATAGATAGATAGACAGACAGATAGATAGATAGATAGACAGATAGATGGATAGATGGATAGATGGATAGATAGATGGATGGATAGATAGATGGATAGATAGATAGATAGACAGACAGATAGATGGATAGATGGATAGATGGATAGATAGATAGATAGATGGATGGATAGATAGATAGATAGACAGACAGATAGATGGATAGATAGATAGATAGATGGATAGATGGATAGATGGATAGATGGATAGATGGATAGATGGATAGATAGATAGATAGATGGATGGATAGATAGATATATAGATACAGTAGATAGATAGATAGATAGATGGATATATTGATAGATAGATAGATAGATAGATAGATAGATAGAGGCTTGTAGCACTCCAGATATTAAACATTTCAGGCGGCTGTATTCTGCTCATTAGCAAAATCAACAGAACAAAAATAATCACTAGTATTTAATTACATCTTCTTATTAGCCAATTAATTCTGACCTAACAGAGGTTAAGCATGTTGTTTGAATGCATTTCACGGGACACGCAGTTTTTTTGTGATTCTCTTCTGATAGCGCGTTTGCTCGCCGAAATCCCCAAGGGGATCAGAGGTCATGCTCAGTTACAGAACGACTCCTCTGGAGGTGTCAGGAACTCCATGTGTTGCTCAAACACCGTTAATCAGGGCAGATCCTATTCCTTTGCATGCTAGCGTGCACCCCCCTATTAACGATTCTCATACACAACTTGCCACATACAATCGATCATTGATACATGATATGATCCACATAAATGCCCTCATATCAAGCGTAATTACTCATGTCAGTGTGAACTGCACTGCCCTTGTATTGATGTTATATTCCCATCTGCACTAATTAGACCTTTCTGTGTGCGAGTAATGCAACACTGGCAGGGCACATGCTCTCTTGCATGAATAACACAACTATTCGGAAGAGTGGCGTTGAATGCATCATTCCCTGTGAAGAGTAATAGACAGGCCAGTTTGGAGATGGATAGCTGGAGAGGGGTCGGACAATTTGGAGTGCAAACATGTTCAAAACTGTAGCTCCAACAAGCTTTTTAATGGCACTGAATGACAGCACTGATTCAGCACCATGGACAGTGACACAAGGCAAACTGCACTGCTTTATTCTCTCGTTCTTTTCCCCTCCATCTGTTCACATTGTTTTTGTGAAGGGGAGAAAGAGTTTGTTTTTTTATATTGTGCAACGCTCTAAAGGCTGCTGCGTGTTGCATCCCACAGCATGCTGCTATCTTTTTAATTATTTACCCAAATATGCCTTTGATCCGAGCACCTGACCAAACTTCTATTTTCTTTCCAGATTGTCCTTCTAAATAAAGCAGGCGAGGTTTGAAAAGTATCACGGAGTAACAAGCTATGCTGGAGAAAAGGAAAACACATGAAGACTCATCCAAACACATTGGACTTATATGTGATGATAACCTTAGATGACAGTGTTTTAAAGTCCAAGTGCAAGTGATGTATAGAGTGTTATTAATAATTTATGATTAAAAGGTCTCGTAAATATATCATGAAATTAGACAAGCACAGCAGAGAAATACATTAAACATGAAGAAAAAGATGATTATTATTGATAACCGAGGGGTAACAACTGTCTAAATATGAATATAATTGTTATACCTTATAGGTTGTGACATTCATTTGTTATTTGGTAAGCATCCTGCCTGAAAAAGAAGAAGTAATTTGACTACATGTTAGGATCTATGGCATCGTTTGGAGGTATCCATGAGCAATACATTACAACCAAATGTCCTGCTCTAAATAATAATGCTACAATTATGACTCAAAGTAATGTTTTTTCTCTTGTTTAAAATGCATGTAATATTTAGAATGTTAGTAAGTATTTATGGTTAGAAATTCTCCAATCTATAACATATAAAAGTGTTATATAAATTAGACCAGTGGAGCACAGCCGTGGATCTCAGTCCTCAGGGATCACAGCTCTGTTGGTTTTCTACCCTCGATGTAGTAAATAACATTCACCTGGATGGTGTCTCACTTGTCACATACTCCCAGTTAGATGGTTAAAATGAAACCCAGCAGGGCCCTGGCTCCTGAGGTCCAGGACTGAGAACCTCTGCTGTAGAGAACATTCCTACAAGGCTTCACAGCAGTGTCTTTCAGGAATTAGACCTCAGGAGCTACAGCCCTGCTGGTTTCTTTCTAAACATCTGACAGGGACTTTCTCACGCCCAGTACGCCAGATGAATGCACTTATTTACCCCACACCTGGGTCCAGAAGACATGAAGGTTATGAGGACAGGGCTCTTTGGTAACATATAGTAAATCTTCCATTGTGCAACATGAAATAACTAAAATAAATAATGTATTTCTTCTTTATTATTACATCACATTAAATGTTACATGCTTTTATCCAAAGCGACTTACATACTCAATACTGTGGACAATCCCCAGGAGCACAGTGTCTTGCCCAGGGACACAACGACATGCTGACTGCAGTGGGGTTTGAACCTGTGCCCCCCTGATCCGAACACAAATGCACTAGTCCACTGCGCCACACGCCTCCAAAGCTACCTACATTCACTTCAATAGACTTGATACAGACATCCAATACATCTTGGGATAGACCAAAGACCCTTTGTCACAGCCGTTCCTGTTGGGGAAATATTTTTCCAAGGCCCATAACTTTGACCCAGTTTGTCAGTTTATACTGACCTCACTGAGCACAGACACCTGTAACCTTGGCTGCTGTGCTCTCAGTGTTTTGTCTCCCTGTTCCTGCCTGTTGGCGTCAGCTGATAGAGGTGTTATGATTCTATCTTGTTATGCACAATGTTGATTATTCTCTCAGAACTAGCTAAATACTTGGGTCTGGGGTAGAGTTCTTCAGAATTGGTTTGGCATCTCAACCGTGTGGTCAGATCGTGGCTCGTGACATGTCTTGAGCCACAAGCTCCAAATAAACCCATCAGTGTTTGCCATCAAAGCTCCAGCTCTCCTCGTGTCTCTCTGAGTCCTGACTCCAATTGCTTCAGAAGTTTCCCCCACAGTTCCCAAATTTGCCGCTTATCCTTTTGGTATTGGTTGCTATTGGATATGCACGTAAGCCATCACATTAGTCACTCTACCACATATCTTCTAATTTCAAATGGCAGTGTTGGGTCAGAAATCCAAAGGAATAAAGGTAAATAAAGCACATTTTAATTCTGATTACCAGATGCTTTAGATATTTTAACATATTCATGTTTAACATCACAATAAGTTTAAGACACAAGCAGAAGAAGTAGCACTAATGCTGCCATCGCACATTCGCACTGTTTAAATGTCCCAAGCTTTCCACCCTACACAAATGTTTATATTCTAACTCTGCCCTGTGGGCCCTCAGTCATCCTGCTATCTCATTGGCCCTCGGCCGCGCTCATTATGCAAATTGGGCAGTGGGCGTGGTCTGTGCATAAATGTACGAGTTGACGTCACGGGCAGAGTTGAAGCAGTGGGGGGGACAGGGGGTGGTTGAAAGAAGAACAAAAAATGAAAACACATAAAGCATAAGCAAAATAAATAAGGCTGATTCCAAACAAGGAGGCTGTTAAGGGAGAGGAGAGAAAGAGGAGGAGTGAGGAAGATATAACAAGGGGGGGGGGAGTGTGCACTGTGCAGTTGACTACAGAGAGGAGAGAGAGAGTGAGCGAGAGAGGGAGAGAGAGAGCAGCTCGCCGGCCCATTGAGGAAAGATGGCTACAGTCACTGCAAACGGAGTGCAGCAAGAGAATGGATTCAGCACCACGAACAGCGCCGGCAGGATGAACGGGCTTAGCATCGGCCAGAACACCATTCCAATGAAGGACCACGACGCCATCAAGCTTTTCATCGGGCAGATTCCCAGAAACCTGGAGGAAAAGGACCTGAAACCCCTGTTTGAGGAATTCGGAAAGATATACGAACTCACTGTACTGAAAGACAGGTTTACGGGAATGCATAAAGGTTGGTTATTTTGATATCTTTACTTTTGTTTTAGCCTTCAAGGAGAGGGGGGGGGGCAATAAATCAGACAGCGTCCCAATTCAGTTTTTCGGGGGCATGAAAAGTATGTTAATGTACAGATGTTTGGGACAGAGTGGGTGCCCCGTGGAGCCGTCACACACACACACACACACACACACACACACACACACACACACACACACGCACACACGCACACACACACACACACACACACACACACACACACACACACATACACACATACACACACACACACACACACACACACACACATACACACATACACACACACACACACACACACACACACACACACACACACACACACACACACACACACACACACACACACACACACACATAGGCTATACGCACATATATGAGGCGTGAGAGGGAAAACACGTGGAAGTGAAGTGCAGGGTTAATTGTAACGGCGTCCAGCCAATCCACGTGAATACTACAGCTGAAAACGCCTTTGTGTGTTTACATTGAATCTCATGTGCGGAGCATCCCAGTTAAAGGGGGGCGGGACAGGCAAGTGTTATTTCAGCAGATGCAGAAATATCTTCACAACAAAAAAATCTGTATCACAGAGTGCTGGTTGTTACCCGAGATAAATAAAATGCTCGCATGGGAGTGGAAAAGTGCAAACCATTATCAAGCAATAAGCATCCGTGATTAAGGTGGTGCTGGCATGCTGCTTTGACCTTTCAGAGGGATAATATGTAAGCCTACTTTTCGGACGTCATTATCTGTGGAAAATACGCGGCAGCTGTATTGTAATGCTGCTCCGTGGGCGGCTTGCAGTCAGGAAGTACAAAGCAGGATAATAGTAGAGCCTGGGATCCAGCGTGCATCGTCTTCTTGTTCTGTCCTCACCCCGCTGTCACCCCCATTGTCCAAACCGGGCGAGATTAGTGTTCACTTAGTAATTAGTCAGGGATCAATTATAATGATTGTTATAATGGTGAATGGTAGAGTGGGGCTTGTGTTGGCGGGCGTTTTAGTTAAACAAAAAAAAAATCCAATACATCAAAGTCCAACTCTAGACACAATTTATATGCACTAATCCTATTACATTTGTACACTTAATTGTGATGCAATTATAAAAGAATAAACCCTTAAGGTAAATACAATGACCACATTTTCATTTACAAGTTTAGTTTTTTTTTTACAAGCTTTGAATTTCACCAGTGTTTCTATTAGTGGATTATTTTGTGATGAAAGAAAATTGAACAATAATTACAATGTAATAACAAAAGTAAGTATTATTACTATTATTAACACAATGTATGACTTTTAAAGCCTGTATTTAGTAGTGTTTTTAACCTGCATTTTATTGGACTGGAACGCAAAAATAAGGTCACATTTCCAGCACTATCAGTGTCCTCTTAAGCAGGCTGTCCCACACTTTATTATCAGCTTAAGTATGGTTTTATTATACCTGCTGCTGCTGTTTGTGATACATTATATTTTGTAGATGGCTGTAAATTATTTTGCAAGATACAATTGAAAACACGAGAGAGAGCCACACACATGCACACATATTGAATTCCCCCGCAGTTCACTCAGTGAAACAGAATCTATTATCAATGCAGGCAAATTATGTATGATATGTTAGTCAGTGGCTACAGTTCATGATCCTATTGATCGGCGCAAGTCAAGCGCTCTTGTGGGAGAATTGAATGTTGGCTCAGCGTGGATTTCTTGTGTGTGTAGCCTCCGAAGGTCTCCATGCACCACCTGTTCCTCCAGCCATCAGTCGCTGGTGCCTCCTGCTCCTCCTCTCCTCTCCCGTGCTCCTCTTCAGAGCGCGGTGATCGATTAAAACAATATTTCTGATGTTCATGTTGTTTACGCCTGTCCTCGACCATCCCTGAATGTCAACACTCTGGAGGGTGGCTGCCTCGGGACGGATAATCCTGTTCCACCGCATGCCCGTTCAAATCATCCTCCACCAAGGCCACTCTGATGCATGCATTATGCCCACTTCATCCCGCATGACATTCAAAGTCACTTTGGGAGCACGAGCATGCACTTTTAATACGATTTCACCAATGCATTATAGGGATGAGTTTTTCTTATTGGCCACTTATCTAAACCGTGTTCATGCCTCCTGCTGCGTCCATGTGTGATACATGTAGACCGAAACAAGACAGTACAAGAGTAGGAAAATAGGAGTGTTAACAAAACATCAAAGTGTATTGTATCATGTGCTGTGTTTTTCAAGGAGAGCTGGGAAAAGGTCCAATCTGAAATCGAGGAAAGCTTGTAGGGGAATTAAAGGTACAATTAATTACTCAACTGGGAAAGTTTTTGGGTTGCACCAAGGTCAGTACAGCAGTGTTCTACATCAGTAGACTTATAATGTTTCATTTAATTGTGATTTAATTTGCAACCCCATCTCAAAGCCCACCTACTGGCAGTCCGCAGCTTCAACCGAATCACACAGACTTCATCAATGTGATGTGTTACAATGTGAAATGTTATTGTAAGTCCTCTTTAAAAACAGGCGGACACAATGTTACAACACTAATAATATTATTCAAATAAAATGTGGTCATGCTGTACTGTCAAACCTTTGCTCTCCTTTTAACCCACTAAAGTCAATTGGGATATCAAATCTGACATTGACAATGAAGTTAAATTGTGTGTTAAAGTTTTATATTCAAAGCATAGAGCATATTACAATTCCAGTTAGATTATAATTTAACACTCATAGATCTACTGCTAAATCCAGCTCATAAATATAAATAGAGATGGATCAGAAATCAGATGGCACTTAACTGCCTCTGCATTATGTCAATTAAAAACACATGTTAGAGGGAAAACAACACTTTGATATTCATGATGAATCACTACCTCTTCGTTAAAGGGGTCACACTTGATGATGAACCCAAAGGGATTTACCATTTAGACAATGTTAGAGCAGCTGATGAACATATTAGACCATCCATACATTTTCCCAAGGAGATAGGAAGACTAACAACAGAGCTAAAGTGAGACTGAGAACTCAACAAACATTCATCAGGTGGCCAGAAACTCTAATCCACATGAATGTAAATGCCAATCCTTCGACTCTGCTAGATGTATAAATAAACAACTGTTTGCTAATACGTTTCCAAATCAGCTCAAAGTTCGATGATTTATTTTATTTTTGCTTCTCCAAATAATAAGGCCACATATAAAGAGCTATTGCGGGTTTAAGAAGATACCTAAAGAGTGAAATGACTATAATGTTGCTGGTGGTCCATCACATACGATACGATATACTTTATTGTCCCCGTAAGGACATTTGTTCTGGACTCCGTCCTGCAGTTCCGCATACATGTACATATACAGTAGACATTAAGAGACATACACATATCATCAGTCATACACCGTTTGAACAAACACAATACACAGACGCACATACTGACAATGGCGACCTATTGCACAACCCTCATGGCCAACATTTAAAAAGTACATTTCATTACATTTGACTACATTTCATTTCATGTGAATGTTAAGAAGCTTAATGGACATAAGTAGGAATGAGTGCTTATAGCGGTTCAGCCTGTTATTGGGAACCCTGATTCTTCTACCAGAAGGTAGGAGCTGGAATTCTGGGTGGAGTATGTGGGTGGGATCAGACACACATTTTTTTTTTGCCTGTCTGATAATGGACTGCTCAACATATAAATAGGAATGTGTCAAAACACACATTGAAGTAAAACAAACCTAAAGTATTTTAGTTCTAATGTTTAGGATGTTGTGCTATACTTATGCAAAGGGTTTCATTATTTATCCTGGATGGCGAGGAAGAGGCATCATTTAAACCTCTTTGGGTTTTGCACATCATCATGTCATATGAGAATAGTTGATAAATGTTTTGGTCACATGACAGCTCAATCCCATCCAGTAGAAATCCCTCGGACGAGTGTTGTAATATCTTCACGACTTCACACACTGAACAACTAACAGCCCAGTACATAGTTTCATTTGAACCTGGTGTTGTCCTGCCTGGATGAATGGGATTAATCTACACAGAAAAGTGTTGTAACGGCTTCATTCTCTCCCTCTGGCTCTAACTTATACATGGTTTTGCAATCATCTTTTGTCCACAGTGTTGTATTTGAAAAATAGTCTGTTTTCTATTTGCTTCACAAACACATAATATGCCAATGAATAGTTATTATGCCAAAATCCCAGGAGGATCCCCGATGTTGCAACAAATTCAAATCACATTTTTATCATAAACAGCAACAAACATTTTTCACAGCAGAGCGAATAGTGTGTGTGTGTGTGTGTGTGTGTAGGAGGAGGAAGTGGGGGTTATAATCACATTGGCTCCACGATCCCTTAAAACATAAAGTTCATAAAGATTTAATGCATTGCCATACATTTACTTTGACTACGACTTTGAAATCCCTCTTTGAGCTCAGTTTGTGTTTGAGATTTGATTTGCTCCGGATAGAGGATGGCTGTTGGCATCAGTTAGTAAAGCGTGTCTAATGGATGATTTGCAGCACTACCTTATTTTACAGCCCGAGTCCTGTGACACAGAATCGCACCATAATTATGGATTTAAGGGCAGATCAAAATATGTCATGTTTGCTCATGATTAATTCATGTGGATTGTGCTGCATCACTTCCAACAGATGTGTTATGCTTTGTGAATTCTAACTTTGGGCATTTCGGGGATCTCCTGGGACTCTTCTAAATATCTGGGGAATTCTGTGTTTCATATTTCCCTGTACACCTCAGTGGATTAGTGTAGCTGCATGATCTACTCAGAAAGAGTTTGTCTTTTAACAGATGAGCCTCGTAGCTGTTAGACGCTGTTGCCTTTAATGTCGATTTGATAGTTTGTGCGTCGTCAGGGAGCCTTCTGCAGCGCGTGGGATGACTTGACACTATTGGCGGACGCGGTGCTCGTCGAGCGTTGTGCAGCCAGGTCGTGCTGTTTAACATCCATCATTCCACTGAGCACTACATTA